TCTCGGGGACAGGGAGTTCATGAGAAGCCAAGGACAAGATGCTTTCCTGGGGGTGCTGGGGAGCAGGTTTCTACGATGGGCCAAGATGGGAGTGGCTGGCACTTTCCAGAAGAGCAAGATGGGGTTCAGAGATTAGAAAGTTGCTGATGGGACCCCAAATACATGGCAAGTCAATCTCAGGTTGTTCTGGGGTCTTTGAGAATCCCCTGAAAGTCTAATAGAGGGAGGAAATTCAGCCCAAGGTCCACCCTGCAGTCCTCACCTGCAGCTTGCCCACCCTGGACCGGCCATTGTGACAGCCCACAGGGCCTCGGTCCCTCGCCTGACATTCTAAAGCCTGAGGAGGACCCTTTCTTAGAGTTTGTGTCTGGCATCAGGATCAGAGGTTTTGCTCTCCACCTCCTACCTCTGAGAGAATCATGAGGAAGAGCCTATTGTGGGGGCCCAGATGCTTCTGATCTGAGAGCGGGCTCCGGAGGCAGGATGGGAGGGCATGTGTGGACCTGAAGTGCTTAGGGCAGGAGGAGGGACCAGGTCCTCCAGCCCACACAGCCTGGGTCTGACAGGCACCAGCGGCTGGCTCACTTGATAGCGGTCATGCAAGAGGCATGCCTGCCCCCCAGGCCTCGGCCCTCTGCCCACCTCTCACTGCCGTGGCCTCATCACCGAGCAGACTCGATCAACAAGGGCAGTGGGATGGCCTGAACTCACTTTTACGGCTGCAAATACTGAAAGAACTTTCTGGCTCCAATTGTAAAGATGGGGAAGATCATGCAGCTCTCAGGAACTGGGGGCCATCTTGTGCTTTCCATCTGTTCTTCCACTGTGGGATCTCAGGCGAAGGTATGACCATCCACTGAGCACCCCAAGTCCCCTGCAGAGCAAGGCTCTGAGCCCCATGGCCAGTCCAGTGGCAGCTCTGGGCCTCTCACATACCTCAGAATCTGCTCGGCCTTGCACCACACCGCCTTCTCCTCTGGACGCCACCTCTCCGTCAGCCTGTTCCTGCGGGGCCGCTGCTGTCCATTTGTCACCCAGCAACCACAGTGAGCGTCTCTCAGGGCAAGTCCAGTGGTCTCCAGGTTGGTGACGCGGTCTCCCTTGCGTACAGGTCCGGCCCAGTCTGCTTGCAGCCCTAGTCTGCTCAGCAGGAGTGACACAGGAAGCAAACAGGAGGGAGGAGGGAGCAGTGCGCACAGGGCAGGACAGACAGGGACAGCGGCTGCAGCCACCCTCGCTGTGCTCCTGTCACCGCAGATGTCCACAGCGCCTGGCACTCTTCCTGCGCACACTGCCTTGCCTGGCCCCCTTGTAAGCATTCACAGTTTCAGTCATCAGTCTTCATGGTCACCCTATGAAATCATATTTTCCTTACATTCGAAGATGTTCCATAGGGCTCAGTGGGCCCCAAGTGGCCAAGGGTGCCTTGTGCTGGGGGTAGGAGTGGAGCTGGGGCTCCTGAGGTGAGGGTGGAGGAGGCCGGTGGGGTGGGGGAGGCTTCCAGGCTAACAGGAAGAATCCTTGTGATGGCAGCAGTCCAAAGGCAGGACTCACTGTGCGGCCCTCTGTGCTGGGGAGTTCTGCTCACAGCAGCCGTGAGAGGTGGGCACGAGGAGCCTCAGTGTGGAGACCCGGAGACCAGGAGCAGCTGTCTCTGTGCCAGGAGGGCTTTGGCCCCCTGAGGAGAGCCGGGGTGAAGGAGCAGGCTCGTTGGAGCAGGAGGGAGCAGACACCCCAAACGTGGTCTGGGGGGAGCAGTGAGGGCTGGAGAGGTGCCTTCTGGGGTATACGGGAGAGGCCCAGAGCTGGGCTTTGAGGATGGGCAGGGGTTGGAGAGATAGAAAAAAGAAGTAGCGTTGGATGGACGGGTGGACAATCGCAGAACACGGCAGCTACCTTCTCCTGCCCTTCCAGGCCCTGAGTGAGCGCCCTGTGAAGGACAGGGGAGGAGTTGAGCTCCTTCTTTGTGACTGTGCGTGTGCGTGTGTGTGGTAAGGAACACGTAACATAACATTTACCATTTTGGCCCCTCTTAAGTGTACAGTTTAGGGCTGGGGATTTAGCTCAGTGGTTCTGCCAACTGCCTCGCAAGTGCAAGGTCCTGAGTTCAATCCCCAGTACCCAAAATAAATAAATACAAGTGTAGTTTCCTAGAATTACATACATTCACCATTTATCCCCACAGCTTTTTCATCATCCCAAACTGAATCTCTGTAATACCTCCTCATTCCCTCTTCCCTTAGTTCAGTCCATGGTGACGACCATTCTACTTCCGGGGTACATGAATTTGAGCACTCTAGGTACCTCATATAAGTATTTGTTCTATTGTGAGTAGCCTGTTTTACCTAGCATAATGTCCTAAGGGTCGTGCCTACGTCAGAAATTGTTTTTTGAGACAAGACCTCCCTCTGTAGTTCAGGCTGGTCTTGAACTCACCATGTAGCCTAGACTGGCCTCAAATTCACTGCAGTCCTCCTGCTTCAGCCTCCTGAGTGCTGGGATCACAAGTGTATACCACTACATCTGGATTAGAATTCCATTCTTTTTTTTAATGCAGAATAGTAGTCCATTACATAGCACATTTTGTATATCCATTCATCTGACAATGGTTATTTGGATTGATTGCACATTTTGACTATAAGTGCTACTAACAATGAGTGTACATGTGTCTGTTTGTGGTCTTGCTTTCAATTCTTTTAGATATCTACCCAGAAGTGGAATTCTGCACCATATTGTTTTTCTATCTTTAAATTGTTTAAAGAACTCCTGTATTGTTTTCCATAGTGGCTGTACTAGTTTACATTCCTATCAGCAATGCACAGGGGTTCCAATTTCTCTATCTTTGTAAATAGTTCTTTTCTCTCTCTTTTTCCTGTAACAGCTATTCTACTGGGTATGAACTGGTATCTCATTGTGAGATTTGCATTTTCTGTAAAGATTAATGATGTTGAACACCCTCTTGTGTGTTTATTGGCCATCTGTATCTTCTTTGGAGAAATGTCCTTTGCCTATTCAAGTCCTTTGCCTATTTTTAAGTCCAGGGTATTTTTAATTGTTATTATTGAGTTGTTGGAGCTAGAAAAATATATTTTGGATATGAATCTTTTTTTTATCCAGTTTGCTATATTTTCTCTTGTTCCCTGGGTTGCTTTTTTAGTCTGTTGATAGTATTTTTTGATGCACAAAAGTGTTTTTGGTTTTTTGTTGTTTTGATTTTTTTTTTATTCTTGAGACAGGGTCTTGCTGTGTAGTTCAGGCTGGCCTCGAACTCATGACAATCCTCCTGCCTCAGCTTCCTGAATGCTGGGATTACAGATGTGTGCCACTATGCCCAGCCTTTTTTTTTTTTTTCCTTCCTGGTTTTGTGTTTGTTTTTGGTGGTACTGGGGATTCAATCTAGGGCCTTCTCATTAAGCTATATCCCTATCCCTTTTTGTTTTATTTTGTGACAGAGTCTCACAAAGTCACTGCATTGTCAAGGCGGGGCTAGAACTTCTGATGCTTTGGTCTCAGCTTCTCAAGAGTGCTAGGATCACAGGCAGGAGCCACTACGCCTGGCTAAAGTTTTTTGCACTGGGAATTAAACACAGGACCTTGCACTTGTGAGGAAGGCATGGTGCCATTGAGCGACATCCCTGACCTTAAAAATTTTTGATTTTTTTGTCGGTGTTGCTTTTTATTTTTTGAGACAGGGTCTTGCTGTGTAGTTTAGGCTGGGCTTGAACTCACCATGTATCCCAGGCTGGCCTCGAACTCACAGAAATCCTCCTGCCTCGGCCCCCAACATAGGATATTCACACCCAACAAAAGTTTTAAATTTTAATTAATCCAAATTTGTCTGTTTTTTCTTTTGTTGTTTGTGCTTTTGGTATCATATCTAAGACGTTGTTAAATCTAACTCTATGAAGCTTTTCCCATGTTTTCTTCTTAGAGTTTTATAATATTAGCTCTATGTTTAGGTCTTTGATCCATTCTGTGTTAATATCTGTAGAAAGTCTGAGATACAGGTCCAACTTCATTTTGTTTCCCTGATGGATATCCAGTTTTTTCAACACCATTTGTTAAAAAAAAAACAACAAACTGTCCCTTCTTCACTAAATGATAAGTATGCCACTTGTCAAAAATCGTTTGGCCACCTCTGAGGCTCACTTCTGCGCTCTGTTCCATTCCACAGGTCTGTATGTCTGTCTTTAGGCCAACACCATTTGTTTTGATTACTGTGGTTTTCTAGCAAGTTCTGAAGTCAGGAAGTCACAAGATCTCACACTGTTCTTTTTCAAGACTGTTTTGGCTCCTTGGAGGCCTTTGAGATCTTATATGAATTTTAGGGTGGATTTTTCTATTTCTGAAAATGATGCTGTTGCGATTTTGATAGCTGTTTGATAGTATTGATCCTTGTGATTTTAAGGAGGGCCTTGGCCAGCTAAGGATTTCCAAGCAACAGTGTATGAGGATGAATGATGTCCTGAGCAGAAGGGGAGGATGGAGGCCTGGCGTGTGGAGGGGTGGGGACGAGGGGCTGCCCTGTGTGAGAAGGAGAGCTCCCACCGCAGAGGTTTGCACTCGAGGATAGCGGGCACTGTATCGTAACCCACTGAAGAAGCTCTTCCTTTTCCTCAGGTTTTCAGTTCTTTCGTGCCCCTTTTCACTTGTTAAAGCGACAGCTCTCTGCCCTGTCTCTGAGGACCACTGGCTTTGTCCTTCCCTCACCCCAGCCCGAGACTGCCATCCCTCCAGGCAGCCGGCTGGGCCTTGCAGAGGTGCAGGTGAGCAGGTGGGAAAGTAGCTCAGCGCGGAGCACGTGCCTAGCAGGCATGAGGTCCTAGCCTGCCCCCAGCCCCTCCAAACAAAACTGGAAGGGGAAGAGAAGAGGCGGTTCTGGGCCATCACACGGGTGGCCAGGGAGAGTTGCTCGGGGAAGATAGGTGAAGATAACAGATGGCCCTGCGGTGTCTAAGCAGACCAGACCTCAGCAGACGCTGCACCTGCAGTAGTGAAAGCAAGGGCAACCAGGTAACCCTCCTGCCAGGCCTGCAGTGACGCCCTGGGGCCTAAGCCAGACCTCGGCTCCGCTTCAGAAAAAGCTCCTCCCCTCATTTTGACACTGATGACAGACAGCTGGACTGAGGCTGGGGCTCTTGGGGCCCTTGGGATACAATTCCTGGTTCTGAGCTGTGACCCTCACTCCTGCCTGGTCCAGGGGAGCTGGAAGGACCTTTATCCTCTGCCCTGTAGGGCACGGCAGAGCCTTCTGGAGACTCATCCTGCCCTGGAAGGGGTCGTCCAACTCCAGCACCGACACCAGGGCCTGGGGCTCCTGGCACAGCCTGAGTTTCCATCCTAAGGTTCCTGGGTGACTGGGGGTAGAAAACAAGGGTCATGTGCTAATGGGAGCATTTATTCAAAGCACCCCAAGCTTTATGGGGATGAACAGAGCCATCAGATACACAATTAAGGCAGAAAACAGTGACATCCTCTTACTTCAGATGAAGCAATAGAATCCTAGAAAACAATGCTGTTTCTGGGAAGGATCGTATCCAGTTGGGCCTTTTGTTTTACCACATGCAGAGCCGAGGGTGGGAGCAGGGAGTGAGACAGGCAGAACCCCCTGCTCCTGGAAGTCACAGTCTGTCGGGGAGGCAAATGGTAGCAAACAAATACAGCACACCAAACACCGTAACGGAGGGGAGGACGTAACAGAACTCTGTCTGAGGGAGTCCTCAACTCGGGGTGTTCCCTGATCAAGCACAGAGGTGAAGGAAGAGCAAGAGCCACACAGGCAGAGAGAAAGGGGCAGAGTGTTCCAGGCAGAGGGAATTAGTGTGTGCAGAGACCTTGGAGGGCGAGGAGGACCAGCCGCGTCAAAGGTCACCTAGGGAACTGGAGACAGGAGCTGGGGCTTCGGATTCTTGTATGTACTCTCCACCCTCCGCAGCCCAGCACCTCCAAGCTCCAAGCCTCAGACGGCACCTCAGCCCGTACCCACCCCCACTGCACCCACAGATGCCGGGTGTGCAGAGAACATCGGAGTCTGTGGAGTCCCTTCAGGCCCTTGTGGCGGGCAGGAGCCTCTAGCCTGTGTTCGAGAGGAGTTTCACTGTCAAGCAGGGAAACCGCTTTGGCTAGACTCTCGACTGAGGGGTGGGAGACGGGCTGATGGTGAACTACTTCTGTACACAGAAAGCTGGCGGGAGCGGGGGCCGGACTTGTAGTCAGGCGAGCGGAGGTCAGCTGGAGGTACAGGCTGTGCACTGCGGCATCTGCTCCGGGACAGTGGGGTCCAGTAGCACCCCAGAGGCTGTGTCCCAGGGAAGCCGACTGGCGTTCACTGTCAGCAGTCTGATAGCCTTCAGTCCTTCACCTGTGGAAACGTGCCGGGGCCCCCAGCTCCCCACACAGTCCAACCAGGTAATGCCGCGTGGACCTGACACCTGCACCCCCAGCAGCCCAGCCAGGGTCCCCGTCCTCCTGCCTCCCTCGCTCCGCTTTGCATTCTCTGAACACTGGTGTCTGCTCCGGTCATCACTGTCCCGAGGGCCTTCACTTCCTCCAACTCGCGGTCTGTGTGGCAGCCACAGTCACCCGTCTAAAATGTCACTCTTCTGCTTAAAACTCCTCCTTCACCACTGCGACAAACACCTCCTGGCTTTTAAGCCTGGCAGGGAAAGTCGCTGGCCCTGCCGTCCTCTCCCGGGCTTCCCCTCACACACGAGGCTCAGCCACAACGAGTTTTCATTTCCTCCCACATCCTGCGGACCTCTGGACCTCTGCCCGTCGCTGCTCTTACCTTTACCTGCCGGCTTCCGGTTTATCCTTTTCAATGCTGCTGCCTTGGGATAGCTTGCCCTGCCCTCCCCACACAGGGGTCCTCCAGTCCCTGCTCCCTAAACACTTATTTGAGCTAGGGATGGAGGAGAGCTGTGGCCCCTTGGGGAATGGAGAGATCATGTTTTCACTCTGTTGTTCAGGCCCCTAGAAACGTGGCAGCACTCAGTATGGCCTTGGTTCTTTACCAGGTCCAATTCTAAGGAGCAGCCGGCCCGTTTATCCCCGGGGTTGCTCTTATCGTGGGCCATACTGTAAGGACAGTCACTACCTTGCCAGGAAGGTACACAGGGGTCTCCGGCCTGGCGGTGAGGGGCCTGTGGTGGCTGGGCTGGGCCCCACGCTGGAGAAGGAAAGCCCTAGCGCCCCCACTGCCTCTGCATCTCACCGAGTGACCACGAAGTTAAGGCTGCCAGGCACCTCCACCGCTCTGCTCAGCATGGGCTTGAGTCTGGCTTCAGAGAACAGGATGAATATTCCCAGGAGACCTAGGAATGCCTCCCTGGGGCTTTGTGCTTTGAACTGCCTTGTAAAAGAAATCAAGGGGTCCCGCAGACTGACCTTGGGGATTTTTTTTTTCCAACTCAGGGCAAGTCACCCCTCTCCAAAAACTTGCACCATCTCTGGTCGTGCTCGCCCCGCTCTGCCACTGCAAGTTGGCAGTCAGCTGTTCACTACTTAGGGGAGGTCCCAAGAGCGCTGGGTAAAATGGGTGTCCACACACTGGCTCACTGCAAACCGGGGTGAGTTTCAGGGAGAGCAGAGTGGGGATGACACACGCTCGTTTTACTGTGTGTGCGTCTGTAATGTGGGAATGTTTTTACAAGCATGTAACACTCCTATAATTAAAGATGCACATCTAATAAAAAGCCCCATCCCTTAGGCCATGGGTGCAGAGGGCAGAGGGTGACAGAGAAGATCTGTTAGGCGAGAAGCCCTGAAGGTGGGCCTGGGGCTGATGGCAGCGACAAGAGGGCATTGCCGGCCAGATAGAGGTGAGGTCCAGGGCCCTGAATAAAGATGGGCATTTTCGTGGGTCGAGTATAAGAAGTACGGGCAGCTGAGAGTGGTGGTGCATGGCATACTCGTAATCCCAGCAACTCGGGAAGTTGAGGCAGGAGGATCTCAAGCTTGAGCCCAGCCCAGGAAACTTAGCAGGAAAAAAGGCTGGGGTGTGTAGCTCAGTGATAAGCACCTGCTTAGCAGGCACAAAGCCCTAGTACTGAAAAAAAGGAGCGAGGCGCACATGTGAGGGAGTGGGGAGAGGCAGGTTGGATAAGGTCCAGGCCAAGCTGTTTGTAATTAAAGGTTTTCTGAGCCGGAAGGATATAACCTGAGCCAGGCCTTGGGATTGGAGCTGGCAGAGAGGAGAGAGAACCCAAGGCCACCAGGAGGCTGTTTGCCCATCTCAGAAGAGCAGCAAGCAGGAGGAGGGACTTCCTGGACGCACGCGCTGCTTTGGCCAGGGCAGGACCATCCTCCTGACCTCCCTGTGCCCTGGCAGCTCTGGGTCTGAGGTTCCTGGTCCACCTGTCGTTGAAGACTGGCTGGCGACTCAGTGTGGGTCTTTCTCCATCACCTGCCTACCTTGACCCAGTGAGGAGGTGGTATCTGCTGGACCTCATGAAGCCCAGGGTTCCGTCTGCCTTCAGCGAACAACTGTTTGATTCTTGGGTAGCTCTTCAGTTCTGGTTCACCTGGTGATTTATTTACATCTCACATTTTCCTGCATCCTGCAGGAAAACCAAACTTGCACACCCCAAGAAGAGACTAGAATGTGCCAGCATGAGCTGGATCTCTTGTTTTCATAATGTAGGACAAGCTGCAGGAGGCATGTGATTGTTTAGATCTAAACTGCAGCCTCCCTTTGAAGGTGCGGCCGGATCGGAAGGGGTGGGAGTGTGACTTGGAAGGGTGTGTCCTCATCCCCGGCTCCTCCACCTCCGCCTCATTCAGTTCTGCCTTGGGGATAGCTGACCAGAGACTGAAACCATGAGCCCGGCCTCTCTTTTAAACTGTGGGTACTGGAAAGTGTGTAAGACAAGATGGGTGCTGTGGGGGCCCCACTGATTCTGAAGAGGCCCAAGACTTCAGAGGACAGGGTCTGACCGCCGAGTGGAAAGCCCGAGTAGCCCGCTGCATTCCCAGCCCTGCCTCCTGCCCACCAGAGGTGGCTGGGGACAGTTAGGTCTGAGGGTCAACCTAGAGTCACTTGGGAACCTATAAGGAGACGGAAGGGAGCTTGTGTGGGTTCTCAAAGGCCATAAAACCCTCACCCTTTCCCACCATACACAGCCTCTGCCATAACGGTCCAGTACCAAAGCCCATGAGAGCTGCAGGCAGGGTGCATCTCCTCTCCCCTACTCCGCCCAGTCGCTCAGTGCAAGGAGGTCAGGGCTGCGGTGCACGCTGAGGGAGCCCGGAGATTTCAGAGCATGGTGAACACTCTCAGCCCAGAAATGCCCTTACTGACCCCAGGAAGCTGCCAGCTCAGACCCGGGAAGCCCTGCCCCCTGGCCCCGCTGATGGCAGAGGACTCCAGCTCCTGCCCAGTGTCACCTTCTCTGCAGCGCCTCCCATTACTTCTGGACCTTGGACATCCCCTGTCACCACACGATGTACTCAGCGGGGTCACTGTGTACCCATCTGAAGTGATGTCCTACAAGCCTTCCTCTGCCCTGTGACCTGGGGTGCAGTGTCTTTGCCGCTGAGTGGGTGCTCACTTAACACTGGTGCAATGCAGACACAGCACAGGCCGGGGAGGGGACACTCACCTGTATTCCCTGCAGCCTAGGAGGCTGAGGCAGGAGGACCACAAGTTTGAGGCCAACCTGGGAAAATTAGTGACTTAGTGAGGCTCTGTCTCGAGATATAAACATAAAAAAGGGGGAGCTGGGATGTAGCTTGTGTGAAAGTCCTGGGTTCGATCCCCAGTACCAAAATAAAACAACCAAGCACAGTCCCAAGTGACCTGAGCCCATTCTGGATTCTTTCCCCCTCCCTGTGTACCCTCGGCCCCCACCAACGTCCCCGACTGCCCCAGGTGGGAGCCTGGCCGCAGCCACACCCCCAGGCGTCTCTTTTGAGAAGACCCTCAAGCCAGAAGCCCACAGAGGCCCGAAAGGCCTTGTGTGTGGACTTGGGACTCTGGACAAGCAGGGCGGAAGGCTGGGAGGGGAGGGGATGCCCTGGGGTCCCAGGAACTGTTGACAAGGCCCTGGCACTAAGGAGCAAGGGCTGTGGCCCATGCCTGCCTGCCCAAGGTGTCCTGACAACCCCGCTCTCAGCTCTAAAGAGGGTTCCCGGCCAGGGCGGCAGCGGTCAAAGGAGGAAGCTGGCTGCTGCCACAAGGGCCTGGGCGGTAGCTGCTGTCTTCCTCAGTGCCCCAGGCATCTGGCGGGAGACTCCGCGCTCCTCTAAGATCTCAGCCCTGCCTATCTCTGGCCACCTGGCCACGCCAGAGCCTTGTCCTCCTCTGCCAAGGCAGCTTCTCTCCTGGTGGCTTCCTGAGCCCTAGCGTTCTCTGGCTAGGGCCAGTCCTCATCTGCCCAGACAGGCCTTGGCACCTGATGCCACCCTCCGTCACCCACCCCAGCTTGAGTCAGGGCCCAGCTGGCTGCTCCAGCCCCGACTCTGGTCGCTGAGAGGTCGCCGGGCAGATTGCTGCTTGGCACTGAACACTTCTGCATTTGGTCTCTCTGGTTCATTGATCAGGAATCATATGCGCTTTTAAAAACACAGCTGGTAGAATTGCCCATCTGTGCTTCCGTATTGGGACCCATAAATCAGGCAGCCTGGGAGTTCTGCAGGAAGCCTGCAGTTCTGTGTACAGAGTGGGGCTGGTTGCCTCCAGTGAGGGTCTTGCCCGGTCCTGGATTGGCCTGGTTTCTGGGCCGTCCCTGACTGGGCTCTGGGACTGGGTCTGTTTTGTGCGCTTGTTTGTCTCCTGTAGGAACCGTTTTCTCTTTACACCGAGATTCAGTAATTACAGGGTAAGGCACTAATGTACACTCCTGTTTTACACACACACACACACACACACACACACACACACACACACACACTTCTCAGACAAAATGGGTCTTGAGTCCTTACTAGGGCAGTGACCCAAGGTAGCGACGGTTCTCTGTGTCCCCTCTCCCCATCCTCTGTAGTATACTTGGGACCACTGCTGAGACGGCACAGGCTGCCAGTTGTCCCCAATATCTGCTGGGTACACACGCAGTCACTCAGAATAAATCCTAAACTAAGTTCTGACCAGTGAGGTAAAAGTAGAATGGTCCAGCTAACTTCTGTAAAGTATCTTTCTGGGACAACAGCACACCCCGCTTCCTTTCTTCCTTCCCACTAGCTAGAATGCATTAAGTGTGATGTGAGAGCTGGTGTTACTGCAGCTGTCTCAGAACGTGAGGATACATCCTGTGTTGAGGATGGCAGATGTGGACGCCAGCTTAAATAAAACAAACAGTGCCTCTCAGCCGCCAGTGTTCGTGACCTGTTCGGTTCTCTCCTCCACTCAGGAGGGCGGGCCTGATAATCGAGAGGTTACTGCAGAAATGAGACGTCGTGTGACTTCGAGATGAAGACGGGCGGATACAGGCGGCATCACAGCTGTGCCTCCTGCCCTCTCGGAGCACTCGCTGTAGGGGAGCAGAAACAGTGGCCCTGCCTTAGGCCAATAGCCAGAGCCACCTCAAGGGCCCCGCGGCCGCCCAGCCCAGCCTGCAGATGACCACAGCCCCACACAACAGCCTGGGGACAACTGCGCGGCAAAGCTCAGCCTGAAAGGGCAGGCAGCGTTGTCCCTAGTGTAAGCCGTGAGCTTTACCTCCCGCCTGCCGCGCTGGGAGTCAAGCCCAGGCCCTTACTCGGCCGGGTCAGGGCTCCCTGGCTCAGCTGCAGCCGGGCCCTGGGAGATGAGGTAACTGTTACCCGGGGAGAGGAGGGGTTTCAGATGGGAGAGAGGGGCTGGCACCTTCTACTTAGGCTGCTGCTGCTGCTGCTTTTCTGTTTGTCCTTTTTTTTTTGAGACAGGGTCTCACACAGCTGCCCTCAGATTCGAGGCAACTGTCACTACTATTCTTGCTTCAGAACTATTCACAAACTCCTCTGAGAGCTGCTGGCCGGAAGACAGTCTTCTGGAGACTGTCGACCCTTCTGCCCATGACACGCTGAGGCCCAAATCTTCCTAAGACCATGGGCAGTGTATGTCAAAACATGGAAAAGGAACTAGGCATGAGTTCAGCCAGGAGGCTGAGGCAGGAGGTTCACTGCAAATTGAAAGGCAGCCTGGGCTACACAGTGAGTTCAAGGCCAGCCTGAGCAATATAGCAAGACCCTGTCTCAAAAAACCCAAACAAAACAAACATGAAGAAGAGGAGAAATTTTATAATGAGGACCGCAGGCCAAGGGTCAGGAGCTGGCCTGGACCACCTGCTCCTGCAGTCCCGCTGATCACTCGGGTGTTGGATGCAGTGCTCTGGGGGGAGCCAGGCTGCCTTCCCAGCTGGAGGCCGCCCCGCGCTGCCCTGGGGATGAAGCGAGCCTGGCTCGGCCCTTGCAGGGGACCCTCTCACAGGCACCTCCTGTGGCCAGCTGAGCACGGTCCAGCAGGGAGGAGGCCAAATGGCAGCTGGCGGTCCTGTGGGCTGTGCTTTGTCTTTTGACGCTGCTTCCCTGCGCCCCACCTGCGGGACAGGGCCAGCCCCTCGAAGGCCTCCTCCCACCCCACTTCTGCTTTCATCCAGATGCCAACATCCACAAGGACTCATCCGCCCAGATGATTCCCGACCCAAACCTCTCAGCGTTCTCCAGCTTCTCCAGCCTGACCCTCGCCACATGGGCAGAGAGCTCCTCTCTGACGTCTTAGCCCGTACATCACATCAAAGGCCTCAGTGTCCTCTTTTCTAGGTTCTTCTGGGCCTCCCTGCATTCTTGCTCTTGAACCTTAACAATGACTTTTTTTGTGTATGGTACTGCGGACTGAGTTACAGCCCAGCCATGTTTTATTCTGAGACAGGCTCCGGCTGAATTGCTAAATTACGCAGGCTGGGCTAGAATTTGCTCTGATCCTCGTGCCTCAGCCTCCTGAGTGCTGGGATTACAGGCGTGCACCATCATGTCTGTCATCAAAGACCTTCAGTCCCCAGATCATTTGCATCATCTGGACGACCAACCAACTCTCTCCAACCCTACATTAGTTAAAGTCATGCTAGAGGCACATCCCCAACTATGTATTGGTTCATTTCCAGTTTGCAGAAAGCCCAAATGAGGGCTCCTGAGCAGGGGCCCCTGTCCTCTGGGCAATGACTCAGGAGCCGGGATCTACACACAACTCCACCACCTCCAACGAGCGGTTTCTAGGGCTGTCTGAGACCTGTGGCTTAGCAGCAGCAGGAATTTATTTCCCTTGGTTCTGGGGGCTAGAAGTCTGAGATCAAAATACTCACATGCTCAGGCCCCGGGGCCCCTGCAGACTGCGAACTCCTGGTGTCTCACTTGGGGAAGACAAGCCGCTCGCTGGTACCACAGGTGAGCCAACCTCCCTGATGGAATCCTGCGTCCTGGAGGACATGAAGTGGACGCATTGGTGCCGATGCAGATTCACAGCCCCGAAGCCAGCGAGGCTCTGTGTCACCAGGCTGGGCTCTGCTTCTTGTCTCCCACAAGTTTCCCAGTACCCGCTGCTGGCCCAGCTCTCCCAGCCGGACCTCCCCCCAGGTTCAGACCCGTGTCTCCTCCTGCCTGCAGGACACTTCCTCTTGCGTTCCCTGCCTCTTCCAGAGGGGACTGGTCTCAGCCTGCGGTGTCACCACCCAGCCCACTTCCCTGTTTTCTCCTGTGATGGGGACACCCTCATCCCAAATGAAAACTTGAGTGACCTCCTTGCCTTGTTCCTCAGATTAAACTCTGGCCAAACCTTTTTCTTTTTGTTTTTGGTGGCACTGGGGGCTACATCCAGGGCCTTCACACTGAGCTACCTCCCCAGCCCTTTTTTGTTTTGCTTTGTTTTTTGAGACAGGGTCTCACTATGTAGTTGAGACTGACCTGGAACTCACTGTGTAGCCCAAACTGGTCTCAAACCCCCAGCGATCCTCCTGCCTCACCCTCCCAAGTGCTGGAATTACAGGCGTGCACATATTATAGGCATGCACCACCACGCCCAGCCCTCTCCAGACCTTTTTATCTTTATTTTCTTTTATTATTTTGGGGAGGGTGTTGAGACCAGGGTCTCACTAAGTAGACTGACCTGGAACTCACTATGTAGCTCAGGCTTGTCTCATTCACAGCAGTCCTCCTGCCTCAGCCTCCTGAGTGCTGGGATTACAGGCACGCACCACCATGCCCAGTTTAGCCCTTTTTATTTTGAGACAATCTCTTAAGACACTAAGTTGCCCAGGCTGGGTACAAACTTGCCATCCTCCTGTCTCAGTCTCCCAGAGCACTAGAATTACATATGTGGATCACCATGCCCAGCACTAAGGCGTTTCTTTTTAATTTTTTTTTTTGTGGGGGGGATCAGGGATCACACTCAGGACCTTGCCCTTTCGAGGCATGCTCAACACCACTGAGCTACGTCCCTGACCATTCCAAGACATTTCCCAAGTCGCCTTCCTCCACTCCTTCCCTTGGTTCTCACCATCACTGCCTGCCATCCTGCCTGTAGCGGCCTCCTGGAGGGTCTTTAAGCCTCTGGTCTGGGGCCTCTCCAGCAGCAGCCACAGTGACTGTTCTGGAGAAAGGATCTGAACTCAGACCCCATAGTCTACAGGCAAAGCTTGGCCTTCCCTCTGAGGCTCCCAAGGCCCCCCTAACCGGCCCCACTTACCCTTCAGCCAGCGCCTCACTTCTTGACCTTCCAGAAACACTGGGCTTCCAGCACCAGGGGGCAGGAGGAGCTCACTGTGGATCTCAGCGACCAGTCCAAGGCCCAGCGTGCAGTAGGTGCTCAATGCGTGCTCCCTGGATAAGTGAAGAGGGTGAGAAGGTACCTGTTTGAGGGACGGACAACCTTTATTTAGATCTGCTTGGCTTATGCCATCCTGCCTTATGCTGAATGAACGTTTCCTGCTCCTACTTGGCAGAGGCAAATGCTATCTGCGTATCTGTGAAATCGGATCCCTGCCTGAGAGCCTCCTCATCAATTAATCACGACTGGCTATTTGAGCAGAACCTCTTCTCTCAGAGCACTTTTACATGGGGCGCCAGACTTTCCTGCCCCGCCAGAGCTGCAGGCTCTCTCATGGCTGTCTTGGGCTCTCACAGGATCCCACAGGGCCCCAGGAGGTGAGCCAGGAAGAAATATTTCCTTCTTTTTTATCTTTTTTCTCTCCTCGCCCTACCCTGATATGTATTTTTTCTTTTTCTCTTTTTGTAGTGCCGGAGGTCACGCCTAGGGCCTTGCACATGCCAGGCAAGTACTCTACCAAGAAAACCCGTACAAGGGTAGCGGCTGTCCAAGGAGTAGCACAAGTCAGGCGTCCGGTGTCTTCACTCTGGAACACACCGCCTTGCTCCCTGCCTGCCCGGATGTGGGCCCCGAAGGGCCGAGGCGCAGGAACTCCCTCTGCCTGGGGACCGTGCGGCCACACCCCCCAGCCCTTAGGTCACTTGTCTGTGGCTGTTCTCAGGCACACAGCCACCCAAGCCGGCCGGGACAAGTGCGGCAGGCAGTCCGCTAGGGGCTCACTGGACAGGCTCTCTCTTTCTCTCCAGACCACAGGGTTTTCTCAGTGGTTGCTCTTTTCACAAAGCCTGTGACCATCTTTTACAAGGCCTCTCATGACCACCAGCCTGAGTCAGCCTGACTCACAACTCTGCGTTCCCCACCGCGAAGCAGGAAGCCAAAGGCTTGAGGCACTTGTTTGGCTCCACCTTGGGGATGAGCTGGCTCTCCTGGCCTAGGTTTTCAGCCTGGGGCCATCACGAGGGCCTGGGAGGAGGGATGGGGTCAGGGGGTCCAAACAGGGCCTCAGGGAGGGGGACCTGGGAGGCATGGAGGCAGGTAGCCAAGCCCAAGTTAGAGAAATCATGGGAGACAGCGAAATGTAGTGTGTGTCCTAAATAACTTACCAATCTGGGTTACCTCTGCCCTTCACTGCCTTTGACTAAACCATTTCCCAATTTTCTAAAGACAGAAATTCAGTTGTAAACATTTGACATGGGAGCTAGGTGTAGTGCACTCAGAGGCTGAGGCAGGAGGATCACTGTGAGTTCCAGGCCAGCCTGGGTTACATAGTGAGTTCAAGGCCAGCCTGAACTATATAGTGAGACCTTGTCCCCAAACAAACAAACAAACAAAACATGACATGGGGATTTGGCTCAGCGGCAGAATATGTGCTTAGCATGCACAAGACCCTAGGTTCAATCCTTGGTACAGGAAAGAGAGAGAGAGAGAGAGAGAGAGAGACTGGGAGGGAAAGAGAGAGAAAAACAGTCACGGGCCACAAGCATGGCTACATTGTTATCATCACATTTTATAAACATTAAAGGAAAAAGCAAACCAAATAGCACAACTGCATCCTGGCACACTGCTCCACAGCCGTCACGAGCAGCCAGAAGGGGCTATGGCAGGGCTTGGCACGGGCACAGCACGCAGCCTGCCCTGAGGGAGGAGGTTCGCGCCTGTCTCCGCGGTTCATGCCAGAGCAGGAGCATGTGTCCGCCCGCCTCTCCTCCCTGGCAAACGCGCATCCTGCCCTCCACAGCTCACGGCTCGAAGGGGAGAACCCTGCCTAGCCACCTCTTACACAGCGGTGCACTTCCAAGGAGGGACGCGTGTGGGGGTCCAGGTGCACCCTGGGCGCGACACCCCTCGCCCTCCGCTTTGTCAGCCAGTGAAACAGTGCTGATTCACTTTGCCCGGGGGGCCTCCTCCAGGACTCCCTTTAGCAAGGCTCACTCACGCTCCACCTGAGTGTGTGCAGTCTCCCACTTTTGCACATTTGTTTTTTGTGTTTTGAGACAGCGTCTTGCTTTATAGTTCTGAACTCCCTACGTAGCCCAGGCTGGCCTTGAACTTGCAGCCATCCTCCTGCCTCTGCCTCTCAAGGGCTGGGATTACACTTGTGCGCCACCACACATATTTCTGCATATCTGAGTAAGGCTGCTTCGTTCACAAATTCTGCGCAGGGAGCCCAACCTCCACCGGTCGCCCCAGCACATCGTGCCTCTTGGCCTCGAGGGCTCCTGTCACTTCCTGCAGGCAGTCCAACCTTCATGGCCCGGCCCTTCAGCTCCCTTGCTTTTCACCTTGGTCCCAGCTGTGTCGCTGGTGCCACCTCCCTCACCACTGTCTAAGCACCCCGCCCTCCAGCCATCCCAAGGCCCATCTTGTGCATGATCTAAGGCTGATTCCTCAAGCTGCCCACGATGCCCGGTCTCAAGGGCAGCTTCTCTTATTGCTGAACACCCCGGGATTACTTTCCCCAGCTCGAACGTGGGGCCCGACCCTGGGGCCCACAGCACCCCTGGGAGTGAATCTGGGGGAGCATCATGCAGGCCACGCTCCAGAAGGATCCTCTCCCCCGAGGAGCTGGAGAGCCTTCCTGCCTCCCAGCGCTCTCGCCGCTGGACACATCAGGACACATCACGGCACCTCACTGCCAAAGTGACAACTACAATTATGCTTTGGCTGACAGCTGGAGACGAGAGAATGCACAAACAGCTGGGCCTACCCATGCCCAGGACTCAGCAGCTCGTGCTGCATGCCCAGCTGGTGGGCGAGGAGGGCCCCTCCTGCCAGGCCTGTTGGGCACCTGGGAGCCTTAGGTGAAGTCTCTGCTGGACAGGGGAGGCTACCCCAGGACCCAGGCAAGGCCTCCGCCCTGGTGGGCAGGCACGGCAGGGGCAGAGGCAGGTTGAGCCAAGCACCCAGGAGTGAAGGCTGTTCTGCTGGGCAGAGTGAATCACCCGGGGCGTGTCCATGACGTCTAGGGGGTCTCTACTGAGACCTGCTGTCGAGCTCTTCAGGTGTCAAACATTTCTTCCTTGCATATGTTCCATCTTTCACTCTGCCCCAATCTGGTGAGGAAGCTTCTTTTATTATCCTCACTTTACCTGGTAAGAGAACTGAATCCCAGTGGGGTGCGGTGGTGCACACCTGTTATCCCAGCACTGGGGAGGCTGAGGCAGGAGGACTTCTGTGAGTTTGAGGCCAGCCTGGGCTACACAGTTAAGTTTGAGGCCAGCCTGAACCATATAGTGAGACTCTGTCTTAAAAAAAAGAAAGAGAAAAAGAAAGAAAACTGAGTCTCGGGGAGCAATCCGCCTGAAGCCACACGGCTGGCAGTAAACTGTAGGCAAGCATGGACTGGACAGCCTGGGTTCCGAGAGCAGCGGCTGTGTGCCTCCCGGTCCTTAAACGCAGTCCTGGCTTCAAGGAGTGGGAACTCCGGTGTAGCCCCACCTAGGGGGGAGTTGAGTGAGGCCTCCAAAGACTTTGGCCAGGATCTTAACATGGAAAATGACACAGGTGACAGGTGCTGGGCTGTGCAGCTGGGCAACAAATACAACTGCCCAGCGGGAGGGTTTCTTCCAAGAGTCAGCAGGAAGCCGCTGTGGGGCTGCTGCCGCCTGTGGAGGTGGAGCACAGGGAACTGTCCCTTTTTCTCCGCCTGCTCCCTTGGCAGGGCTCTGGCCCAGGTCTGGGGGAGCAGTGGGCTGAGGGTGTCGGGTACTCCCGAGAGAGCTGCTGCCTTTCGCGGGCCCCTTACTGGGCATAACCTGCCGGTCCTCACATTCGGCCCGACACAGGCAGACCACAGCAGGGACAGACGGACAGATGGGCACAGCAGCCTGAGAACTTTGCTCAAGGCCCTCCAGATGGGCATGAAAGGCCAGTGGGGCTGGGGACACAGGAGTGTTTGTATTTCAAGAGCAGGCTGCCCATGAATCACCAACTTCATTTTGTGCTTTCAGCCCTGCGAAAGCATCATTTCCACCCAGTCTCCCGCGGGGCTGGCGGCCAGAGCCTCTTCGTGGGGCTATAAATAGCAGATCATCAACTCACCTCTTGTGAGCTCATCACAGGCTCCTGGTTTACTGCGCGTCTTCCAGCAGCCTGCGCGGCACTGCACTCAGATTCCCCAGGTGAAGCTTGGCTGAGAGACCCCGGCGAGCTCAGGGGCAGAGGAGGGGGCTGCGGGGCTTTGGTTCCCAGAGCTGTTCGGGGTGACAGCGAGGGCGGGGCAGACTTTTGAAGAGCTTGCCCTGTAAGACGTCATAATTATGATCTCTGGGCTCTGCGCTCCTCTCCAATTAAATGCAGCAGTGAGGGACTGTCGTTTCTCTACACGTCCTACAAACCAGGGCAAAGGAGCCACCAAGCACACAAGCCAAGTGGAACAGGTAGCAGCAAATGGAAGGCTTTGCCCCTTCTACGGACTCAGCCCTGAGTGAAACACGGCTCCCTGGCTTCGCAGGGAACGGCATTTTTTCAGAACTGCTCCCAGTGCTGCCCCCCAGGGTGGCAGGCACGGTGCCCAGCCGCACATGCATCTCCTCATCAGGGCACCACAAAGGCCACACGTGCCAGCTGCCCACAGGCTGCACTTTCTGCAGAGTGCAGACCCTCTCAGCACACAAACCAGGCAGGAACCCGGAGGGTGGGCCGCAGGTGCGGCCAGACTGCAGAGCCTGCTCTCGGAAGGGGGCTGTGTGTCCCCGGAGCCCACCGTGGCATGGGGGCTGCTGAGCGATCTGAGCCTCGCTCTCCTCTGTGCAGTTCTACGCACTCTGTGGCCAGGTGATCCCGGCTCCTCAGCCTCCCAGCCCCAGGCCCCTGAACATTCCTGTCACCACCATCTCCCACACTGAACTCCCTCTGTGTTCTCCAGTTTCCAAGCAGCGCTTCTGGCCTGGCCGGCTGCTTTTCCTTGCACTTCCTTCCTCTGGGGCCCTACAGCAGGCAGAGGGAAGTAGGACTCGCGAAGCCCCACTCCGGGACCACCCTCCTGCCATCTGCGCCCTCCTCTTCATGGCCACAGCCCCACAACCGAGAAGCAAGAGTCCAAGAACACAGATTCCCGCCTCCCCCCCCAGACTGCCTGAGAGACCCCCAAGGGGGATCCAGGGCTGGTTTCCTGAGGAGCTCCCCTGGTCGTCTGTCTCGCCAAGGTTCAGAACTCTCCGGCCTGTGAGTTCTGCCAGCTCCCTCTCTTACCCTTCTGACCTATGGCTATCAAAACTAAAACTAACTTTCTTTCCTTCCAGTACTTGGGATTGAAACCACATTCTTCTCACTCAGTGACATCCCCAGCCCTTTTTTAATTTCTGATTTTGAGATAGAGTCTCATTAAGTTGCTAGGTTGCCTAGACGGGCCTCCAACTTGCGACCCTCCTGCCTCAGCCTCCCAGGGTGCTGGGATCACAGGTGTGCACCACCAGGCTTGGCCTCTTCATTTTCTTAAAGCACAGTTTACCTTCTGTCACTCTCCTGCTCAAAATCTTGGGTGGTTTCTTGCTGGAGCAGGAAAGTCTAGAGCCCTTAGCTTGGTGTTCAAGGCCTTATCTGTCTGGTCTATGCACTGTCTGGCCGACCTCTTGAAATTCCTCCTCACACCACAGCCACCTTTCCCTGCGCCGGGCTCCAGGCTGTTTCCCTCCTCTGTTTGTTGAGGCTTCAGGTGGCAGTTGGGCAGAGAGGCTCACTGAAATGACTACAGCCGTCTCCAGGACTCCAAGCCCTCCCGTAAGAGGGGTGAGGGTCAGGGCCCCCATAATCCTCTGTGGCCTGCAGGTGGAAGCAGGTCCCCTGGAAAGACAAGCCGAGAGCAGGGACCCAGTAAAGCAGGAGAGGAGGAACCGCCTCGAGTCCATTGCTAGTCCATGGGCCTTCTTATCAGCACAAGAGACAGGGTGGCCTGGCAAGGAGTCCTGGGGCGAGGGCCCCACTGCACAGGGCCTGGCGTGCGCTTCTGTCCCCGTCCGCAGACCAGAGCAGAAGCCGCAGCTGGACCTCGCTGCTGTGATCTCCGTGGTCATGAGCACCTTAGTCACTCCTTAAACAAAGTGTACATTTGAACTTCGCCCCATCGTCCATCAAGGAACACCCACCCGCTGAGTGTGGTGGCCTGGCCTGTAATACCAATGACTCAGGAGCCTGAGGCAGGAGGACTGCAAGTTCAAGGGCAGCCTGGGCAGTGTAGTGAGACTTGGTTCAAAACAAAAAAAGTAAAAAGGGCTGGGGAGCAGCTCAGTGGAAGAGTGCTTGCCTAGGGTGCTCAAGGACCTGGGTTCAATGCCCAGGACTGCGAAAAGGAAAACTAATTAATAAACAGCAACTCAAAAGAAAAGAAGGCACCAGGCAGGGTGGCGCATGCCTGTAATCCCAGCACTTGGGAGGCTGAGGCAGGAGGATCTCGGTGAGTTCGAGACCAGCCTGGGCTACATAGTGAGTTCCAGGTCAGTCTCAACTACACAGTGAGACCCTGTCTCAAAAAAACAAAAAAACAAAACAAAACAAAAACAAAAAACAAACCCAAAACAACAACAAACTAAAAAAGAAAAAGAAAAACAAGAAAAGAAGATCTGCGTGGACTGAAAGCCAAGATACTTCACAATCGGCCTGGAAACTTAACTGAACGTGCTTCTGGGTGAAAACTGACATTGAAAACTGTTGAAATATGGCGGAAGAGTCTCAGCAATCTGCCTGCTTCCACACCACTAAAAGGGACCCTAAAGGAATAAGAAGAGGAAGAAGCAAGAGAAGACGAAGGGGTCGGAGTGTCGGAGGTGGAAGGCAGGAAGGGGCGGTGAGCCACGCAGCAGCGCGGAGGACGCCGAGGTGGGGGGCTCCTGCGGGACGCCCCGAGTATATTCCCCGGGAACTTGGATCTGCACACCAGGCGTCGTGCAGGGTGGGAATGAGGAGCAGACCCGAAAAGATGGGGGATACATGGAAACGCGTTTAAGGAGCTCCTAGCCCGCCCCAGGCTGGACACCTAGAGCCCTCTTCTGTAGAAACTGCGCAGGCGCGAGGGAAAGGCCTCTAGCAGCCCTAGACCTTTGGGGCCCCCACGGAAAGAGCCAGCTTTGGACCAGCTGATCACACATGTCATTTTACAGGAGTAGACAGCGGGCCTCTAGACATTCAGGGAAACCCGTGTGTGCCTGTGGGGGTGAGGGCGGGGGGAGCAGGAAGAAGGCGTACATTAAGGGAGAAAACTTTAACAATGGTATAAAATTCTCAGCGAGAGACAGGAAGATTTACATGTCAAGGTTCGGCATCATCATGAAATGCCACCATACCAGGGATGAAGGAAAGACCATAAAAGAATTCAGACACCTGCAATCCCTGCTACTCAGGAGGCTAAGGATCAGAAATTTGAGGACAGCCTGGGCACCCTGGCAAGAGCCTATCGCAAATAAAATAAAAAGGGCTGCGGATGCAGCTCGGTGGTAGAGTATTTCCTTAGTATGATGAGCACTTGGATTCAACCCAGTACCACACACACGCACACCCGCGCGCGAGCACGCGCGCACACACACACACACACACACACACACACACACACACAGGAATCAGAGCTGACCAGACTTCCCAGCCACAACCCTGGAAGTGGAAACAGAACGGAGTGAAAATTACCTACGGTAAACCCAGTCCATTTATCAAGAGGAACGGGAGACATCCAGGTGTGGGGCACATGACTGTAATCCGAGCACTTGGGAGGCTAAGGCAAGGGGATCACAACTTCAAAGACCCTGCCTCAAAAAAAGAAAGCAAACAAAAATAGAGGAATGGGAAAATATAAAGATATTTTCTGACAAGGGAGTTCCGAAGTCACTGGCTTCTCGTGCTCCCTTTGTCAGGAAGCCCTCCATCTACAGAATAATCAAAGAATGAGGAGACCTCCAGGGCACTGGGGGTGCAGCTCGGAACTACAGCACTTACCTCAGGGCTAGTGTATGAGGCCTGGGGCTGAACACCAGCAGCGAGGTCAGGATCTGGGGCCCGGAACCGGAAATGAGATCGTGAGCAGCCAGACCCGAGCCCACCCGGGCTCCGTCCCTTCCTTTTGTTGAGGGGCCAGTCTGACCCTCTCCGTCAGGGCTGTACCCCCTTCAGCTGCTCAAGCTGAAGTCCCTTCTGTGTTTTCTCTTCCTTTCAAGCTCTTCCTTGCACACCTGCCTGTGTCTCACACTGGCATGTCCAGAAATGCTTTTCTATGAAGATGAGTCAAGAATCTACTCTGAAGGCAAGGGTTGGGTTCCCCATCTCCTCCTTGGAGGACCTCCTCAGACCCCTTTCCATGATAGTAGGGTTGCCAGATAATTTTTTTTTTTTTTTTTTTTTGTATCGAGCATTGAATTCCGGACTTTCTACTTGTGAGGCAGGTGTGGTGACCCTGAGCTAAATCCCCGGCTCTAAAACATTCCTGGGATTAAATTTGCATTTGAAAACTTATTTGTTATTAATCTGAAATTCAAATTTAACCAAGCATCCTGGAGGGTTTTGTTTACTTCTGTTTGTTTGTTTGTTTTTGAGTGGTGGCAGGGATCAAATACAGGGCCCTTCAGTGTCTCTAATGAACATAGATGCAAAAATCCTCAATAAGATACTGGCAAAAAGAATGCAGAAAATCATCAGAGTTATACAGCATGATCAAATAGGATTCACTCCAGAGATGCAGGGTTGCTTCAACAGACACAAACCAATACAGGTAATACACTACATTAACAGAGTCAAGGACAAAAACCATATGATCCTCTCAATGGTTACAGAAAAAGCACTTGATAAGAGTTCAACACCCATTCATGATTAAAGCCCTACAGACAATTTGGATGGTCTTCATCCCAATCTGATAAAAACCATCTATGACAAACCAACAGCCACCACCATACTAAATGGACAAAAACTGAAAGCCTTCACTCTAAACTCAGGAACAAGACAAGGATGTCCACTGTCACCACTCTTGTTCAAAATAATTCTGGAATCACTAGCCAGAGCAATTAGACGAGAAAGAAAAGCAATAAGGATAGTAAAGGAAGAAGTTAAATTATCATTATTTGTGGGTGACATGATACTTTACATAGAAGACCCCAAAAGCTCCACCAAAAGACTCCTAGACTTAATAATCAAATTCAGTAGCATAGCTGGATGCAAAGTCAACACTCGAAAATCAATAGCCTTCCTGTACACAAGTAAGAGATTCAGTGAGAGAGAAATTAGGGACACAACACCTTTCACAATAGCATTCAAAGAAATGAAATACCCAGGAATTAATCCAGCAAAGGAATTAAAAGACCTTTACACAGACAACTACAGTACCCTGAAAAAGGAGATCAAAGAGGATATCAGAAAATGGAAAGATATCTCTTGTCCTTGGGCAGGAAGAACCACTATAGTGAAAATGGCAACACTTCCAAAATTGTTCTACAGATTTAATGCAAACTTTTTTTTTTGGTACTGGGGATCAAACTCAGGACCTGCCCTTTTGAGGCAGATGGTGGCAAAACTGAGCTACAGCCCCAGCCCTGATTTGATGCAATCTTGATCAAAATGCCAATAGAATATCTGACAGAATGAGATAAAACAATTCTAAAATTCATTTGGAACCAGAAGAGACCTAGAATAGCAAAAGCAATTCTGGGCAACAAGGCAAGACGGGGCATCACAATTCCTGACTCGAAATTATATTACAAAGCTACAGTGATTTAAAACAAACAGCATGGTTCTAGCAAAACCAAAAAACAAACAAACAAATAAACACAGGCCTGAGGATCAATGGAACAGATTAGAGGATGCAGAAACAACTCCAGACATATTCAGCCACCTTATCTTTAACAAAGGAGCCAAATACCTTCACTAAAAGAAAGACAGCCTCTTTAATAAATGGTGCTGGAAAAACTGGCTTTATTCATGCCAAAGATTAAAACTAGATCTATAGTTTTCACTATGCACTAAACTAAAATCAAAATAGTTCAAAGATCTAAATATTAAAACAGAAACACTGAGCCAGGGATTTAGCTCAGTGGCGCTGCACCTGCCTCCCAAATGCAAGGTCCTGAGTTTGATCCCCAGTACCAAAAAAAACAAAAACAACCCCCCCAAAAAAACAAACACTGCATCTGCTGCAAGATAGAATAGGTAAGCCGGGTGTGGTGGCGCATGCCTGTAATCCCAGCATTGGGGAGGCTGAGGCAGGAGGATCGCTGTGAGTTCAAGACCAGCCTGGGCTACACAGTGAGTTCCAGGCCAGTCTCAACTATATAGTGAGACCCTGTCTCAAAAAGAAAGAAAGAAAGAAAAGATAGAATAGTTAGAACACTTGAAGACATTGGTGTAGGACTATATGAACAAAACCCTGATTGAACAGGAAAAATCATAAGAATCAACAACCTGGATCTCATCTTATTAAAAACCTTTTGCACAGCAAAAGACACCACTAAAAGAATGAAGAGATGACCCACAGAATGTGGGAAAAAATATTTTGTCAGACAAAGGACTACTACCTAGAATATATAAAGAACTCCAAAATATCAGATCCCCAAAATTAAAGATCCAGTCCCAAAATGGGCATCTGAAATGAACAGACACTTCTCAGGCGAAGTAGAAATGGCAAATAAATATGTGAGAAAATGTTCAACATCACTGGTCATTCAAGAGACGCATTAACACTAAGATTCCTTCTCACTCCAGAAAGAATGGCTGCTATCAAGGAATTAACCACACTCCAAAATGTTTGGTGTCATGTTTTTGCCATGGCCAGTAGTAGTACGCTATCGCTAAGTCTACGTTTACCATACAGAAAACTAACATGGTGTGATAAGACCTGTGCAAGCCCTTTACACAGGTCTTCAGGTTTAGTACGTTTATAGGGAGAACACCGAAGCCACCCAAAAACACCTTTAGTGTTTCTTTTTCTTCAAAATTGGCCTTAAAATTTGAGCCTCTGCTATGGCTTGTATCTAGATGTTCCCCTAAAGCCCCCTGCAGTCCAAGTGGGGGGTCTTGGAGGTGGCTGGATCGAGGGTGTGTGCTGCTGCAGTCAAGGGTGCAATGCCGGGACTAAGGGCGGGCAGCCTGGGTCAGATATAAGGGACAGAGAGAGGCTTGTTGCTTGTAGCGAGTTGCTTGCTTGCTACTTGCTGCCTTCTGCCTGCACTGCTTTGCTGTGCACTGCTTATCTTCTGTGATGCCTTTTAGCCGTGCCACCCCGCCTTGGAGCCAGGCGACTAGGGACTAAAACCACTACACCTGTGAGCCAAATAAACCTTTTCTCCAGAAAGAAAGAAAGAAATAACAAATGCTGGCAGGGCTGTAGGGAAAAAGGAACCCCTCCCCACTGCTGGTCGGAGTGCAGACTGGTGCAACCACTGTGGAAATCAGCGTGGAGATTCCTCAAAGAACTAGGATCAGAGGATCCGTTTGACCCAGCTGTTCTCCTTCTTCGTATCTTCCAAACATATTAAAAGCATCGCACTACAGTAATACATGTGCATCCATGTTTATAGCAGCACAATGTATAATACCTAAAGCTTGGAAACAGCTGAAATGCCTATCAACTGATGATTGGGTAAAGATGTAGTTTTTAAAATATATAACGGAGTATTACTCTGCCATCAAGGAGGATATGCTTAGCCGGGCGTGGTGACGCACACCAGTAATCCCAGCACTTGGGAGGCTGAGGCGGGAGGATCGCTGTGAGTTGGAGACCAGTCTGGGCTACATAGTGAGTTCCAGGTCAGTCTCAACTACATAGTGAGACCCTGTCTCAAAAAAAAAAAAGAGACATTTCTAGCTAAACGGATGCACCTTGAGACCATACTCTGTGATAAACCAGACACACATATTTAGATACTGCACTGTTCCTCTGGTGTGAGAACCCAAAAGAGTAAATAAGGACCAAAATGTATAACAGATATAAGGAAATGGAAAGAAAATCGTCAAATGAGGAGAGGAACCAGAGAAGGGAGAGGCAAAGGAAAGAAGGAACGAGAACAAGAGGGATAAGAGAAGGAAAAATGAAAACAAAGCTTTTGTAAATAAGGAGGGGAAGAGGAGTTGAAGGGAGGAGAGGTGAACGGAAACAAAAGAAGCAACACAACATATCGCGTACAGGTACAGATTCCAGGACGAGAGCTACCATCACGTATATCTAAAATGTACCAGTCAAACAGCAAAACAAAACCCAAGGCCTTGCGCCTGCTAGGTCAAGTACCTACCACCACAGAACTCCACCCGCAGCCGTGATCTTGTGTTAGCTAAATCTGGGGCCAGAAATGTAGGTTCTCCTTTCACTAAACCCACAAAATAGGGCTGTGGTCAGAGAGACAATGGAACCAGAAATTTCCCTTCAAGTTAATGCAGAGATCTGTGCAGAAAGGACTGACCCTCCTCCTCCAGCGCTGCGCAGTGATTTGGCACTGTAGGCAGAAGGGAATCACCCATCACTGCGGCTGCCGCCAGTCCAGGGGCTGGGGTGTGGCGCAGGGCACAGCATTCATGTGGCATGCATGAGTCCCTGGGGACAGCCCGGGACCACAGAGAAAAAGGATACAGTGGACTTTAGAGGTGAAGCAGCCCTCCCAAAGCTCAAAGCATCCCTGCAATACATCAGTGTATCATCTGGAAACACACAGAGGTAAATTTATATGATAAAGTCAAGAAGTTAAAATCTGAACATTTTAAAACGCAGAGCACAAATATAAAGCACTTTTACTGCTATGATATTCACTATTCCTTCTGTGAGAAGACGTCAACAGCAGCCAGCAGGGAAGAAGTGTCAGAAGTCCAGAAGGGTTAAGATGAGCAGCCACCAGCTGGGTGCAGTGGTGCATGCCTGCAAGTCCGCCACTCTAGGAGGCTGAGGCAGGAAGACTGCCAAATAGGAGCTCAGCCAGGGCACTTTAGCAACTTAGTGATACTCTGTTTATAAAATAAAAAATAAAAAAGGGCTGCGGTGTAGCCCTGGGTTCAATCCCTAGTACCAAAAAACTCAAACAAACAAACGAACACCACACCATGTACCTACTCTACAAAACCATTGGTTGAATAAAAAATGAATTTGCTTAAGCATTTTCAAGGTTTTCTAAGAACAGGTGACAGTGGTCACGTTTCCTTCTTTCCACTCACTGAAAAGCGAACCAAGGACCTCTCCAATGCTACCAAGTACTCTACGACATAGCTACATCACTAACTGTTTTTATTTGACTTTGAAACAGGGTCTAGCTAAACTGCCCAGGCTGTCCCTGAACGTGTGATCGTCCTGTCTCAGCCCTCTGAGGGGCTGTGATTCCAAGCACGCGCCATCACTGCCAGCTAGTGTTTTTCAAATGGTAAAATAGCTGTATCAAATTAAAACATGAATCTATTACAGAAGTGTAGGACGGCCATTTATTTGGATCCTCCCAATGACAGGGAGTGCCTGCCGTTCAATGCAAAGGAGAATTGTATATGTTTCAGCTGTGGTTCTTTAAAGTTCTTCCTATTAAAGACGAAATCTGAGGGCTAGGGGTGTAGCTCAGTGACACGACATGTGCTTCGTAGGTGCAAGGACGAAGGTTCGATTCCCCCTTTACTCCTCATCACGGGGAAGGGGAGAGGTGGAGGTAGCTTTACAGAACTTTCACACTTCGGCCCTATGCTCACCTTGAAAGACCCAGGAAGAACGAACGGTCCTCTCCAAAATCGTCCTCTAAACTTCTACACAGGTTGCAGGGCCTGACTGTACCTGAGGCCCACCTGTTACCTAGTCTCCCTCCTGCTGCCCTCTCCCTCTCCTTCTGGGAACAGGAACACGTTCGGTTCCTCAAAGATGTGCTTCAAATAAGGCGCTGACTGGAGTTTGAGTGTGGCCCGAGGCGTGCAAAACAGCATAAGAGTTTAACCTGCTCCCAACTTGAGGGCCCAGAGTTCTTCAAACGAAGAGCAGCCACTAGCCTGCTTTTTAAAGCACACCAATCTTAAGGATTCTGGCAGAAAACACTTGTCTAATTCAGTAGGGAAAGTCACGCTTACATTTACAACAAGCTCGGACATTCTTTTCTATTGTTCCACCGATTAAGGTGGCGGCACCACTGAGCTAAATCCCCGGCCTCCGGTCTCAAAATTTGAGACGTGTTCGTGCTAAATTGCTAAATTGCCCAGGCTGGGATGGAACTGGTGACCCTCCTGCCTCAGCCTCCCAGATGTCTGGAATTACAGGGGTGGGCCACCATTATGGATTTAAATTCCTTGTCTCTGGGGCAAATAAACAGGAAACCCAGGAGTCCATGGTTCATGTTTCCACCACCCACTAGGTGGCCTCCGTGAGCCGTTTCCGTTTCCGGGGATTTTGCACGCTCACACTGGGTCCTCTGGGCACCGGTGAAAATCAGAGGAGATGCAGCCTGCGCTGGAGGGGAAGCAAAGACGCCTTTCCAGCCCCGCCAGCCACAAGTCAGAGTGCTCCAGAGAGCCTGCAAACTCAGGAACGTGAGCACAGACATCGCCAGGACGGTCCTCGCTGTGAAACATGAGTCAACGGCTGCTAGGCACAGACTTGGGCACCCACTTTCTGGGGGGTAATTTGGCAAAGCAAAAAACTGCTGAAAGTGTACATGGTCTTAGGAATTAAGAATTCCGCTTCTCCAGATTCAGCAGAAGGAAAAGAAGCTATGCACAGCCGAGCAGTAGCTTGTTTGAAAGTGTAAGTCCCAGAAGCACTAATTAAATTTTTCCATGACAGTTTTGTTAAACTTGTAAAACTTCATTTTAGAAGGAATAGGCCAGTAGTTTAGTTCTGGAGTCTTACATTCAACAGTGACAACCAACTTGCAAACTATGTGGTGAAGCAGATGATTAATATACAGAATGCATAAAGAACTCACGATATTCAACACCAAAAGCACAAGTAACCCAACCAATAAATGCAAATGAACCGAATACACACTTCTCGAAAGAAGTACAAATGGACAATAATTATGAAAAAATCCTCAACATCATTAGCCATCAGGGAAACGCAAATCAACCACACTGAGATTCTATCTCATCCCAGTCAGACTGGTTATTAACAAGAAATAAAAAACTGCAAATGTTGCTGGGCGTGTAATCTTATTACACTTATTATTATTAAGATTACATGCCTGTAATCTTAGCACTCGGGAGGCTGAGGCAGGAGAACTCTTATGTTTAAACCCAGCCCCAGGAACTTAGCAAGGCCCTGTCTCAGACAAAATAAAGGAAGGGCTGGGAATGCAGCTTCGTGTTCCAGCACCCCTGGGTTTAATCTCCAGTACTGAACGAACGAATGAATGAATGAATAAAATGAAGCTGGTGAGGATGTGCAGAGAAAGGGAACCTTACACGCTATTGATGGAACTGTAAATTACCACAGCTATTATGGGAATCAATAGGGAGGCCACTCCAAGAATTATAAACAAGGCAGGCGCGGTGGTGCACACCTGTAACCCTGGCATTCCGAAAGGCTGAGGCAACAGCATTCCAAGTTGGAGCTCAGCTGGGAATGTAGCAAGAGCCTATCTCAAAATAAAAAACCCAAAAGGGCAGTGGATGGAGCTCAGTGTGAAGGCCCTGGGATCTCTCCTGATACTGCAAAAACACAAACAAAAACACTAAATAAACTCTACCACCATGCCTGGGTGTACACCAGAAGCAATCAGAGGTAGCATACAGAAGAGGTACCTGCACTCCTGTGTTTAGTATGGCACTGTTCACGGTTTCCAGACTAGAAAATCACCCCAATGGCCTCCCAGATGAATGGAGAAAGGCCATGCAGGGCGCATACACACGGAGTAAACTGTGCCACAAAGAAGTCCCGTCACGCGTAGGAAATGGTAGCGGAGATTGTTCTGTTGAGCGAAGTAAGCCAGACTCAGAAACACAGCTACTGAGTGTTTTCTCTCATATGTGAAACCTGGGGAAAACAAAACAAAACAAACCCCAAAATGAAAGTCGAAGGGGTATAATTAAGGCAGAGGAAAGAGGCCAAGGGGAGGGGGAGGAAAAGAGGGCCCTAGGGAGGGTGGGTGTGTGTGGGTATGAGTCTGTGAAAATGTCACCGGAAACGGCTCAGTTAATATGTGCTAGTAATTACAATAAAAAATTGACGATGTAGAAGTTCAAACACCATAATCAAAAAGGTAAATGTTGATGTGTATCAGACTGTCTTTGAGACAGAAAATATTCTTTCTTCTTTTCAAATGCTCCATAATATTTGTCTACGTGTGAAAGATTATATATGATTTCACAAACAAAATTCCATTCAATTCCCAAGGTAAAAATAACATAAGTAGTGTTCTATAATAACAACACAATAAACACTGCCATTTACAACATTTCAAACGCAGACAAAAAGTGCCCTTCTACCTGGGAGTGTGAGGAAGGCCTATATTAAATAATTTCATGATCAAAAGGAAGATAAAAACTGAATCAGCAGAATTTCTAGAAAGCAGTCATAGTAATACACCATATAAAAGCATCTAAGAGTACAGGTAAAGCAGCATTCAGTAGGAAGATGTACACTCTTGTTTTGTTTTGTTTTGTTGTTTTGAGACAGGGTCTCACTATGTAGTTGAGACTGACCTGGAACTCACTATGTAGCCCAGGCTGACCTTGAACTCACAGCAATCCTCCTGCCTCAGCCTCCTGAGTGCTAGGATTACAGGTGTGTGCCACCACACCCGGCTGAAGATGTACAGTTTTATCAGGTGTGGTGGCACACACCTGTACTGCCAGCACGTGGGAAGCTGAGACAGGAAAATCACATGCAAGTTGGAGGCAGCGTGACTTACATGGTGAGACCTCATCTCAAAAAACATAAAAAAAGATGGCCGCGGTGGTAAACGCCTGTAACCCCCACACTTGGGAGGCTGAGGCAGGAGGATCACTGCGAGCTCGAGGACAGCCTGGGCTACATAGTGAGTTTAGGGCCAGCTTGAACTACAAAGGGAGACCTTGCCTCAAAAAACAACAAACAAACAAACAAAAATTAACAAGTAAGTAATTAAAATTAAAATTAAACAAAGGATAAACTAATAAATTGACAAGTTAATCAGCTAACAGAAATGTAGTATTAGGCAGGCAGTTCGACGTTAGTGGGCCCAAAGGACAAATGGGGAGGGGGGTCTCAAACAGTGAGCACTGTGGTTCCAGGAAGAAACAGCCATCAGTGTGTAATACCTTTGAAATACCTCAGACTCGGCGGTCTCACAGAACACAGGGACGTCTTCAGGTGACACGCTGTGCACAGTCCTTTTGAGGCCCCTAGTTCCAGAATGAGGCCCTTCTGCCAGGTTCCCAACTTCCATCATCTACGGCCCAGGGACGGCAGGGAGAGAGATGTTCTGCGAAGACCTTCTGCCTCAGGCCTGGCCTGGTGTAAAGGAAGAACAGGTCTCCCTAAATGAAGAACAGGTTTCCCTTATCTTACCTGATGGGAACCCCCGAGGAAGGGTGGACTGTCTAAGAAGCACAGGAAGACGCTCGTGCAGTTCCAAAGGACTTCTAAGTAAACACATATGGAAGCCACCATAATCACCCGAGCTCCTGAACCCCAGGAGACACTTTTGAGCGTAACAGTTATTCAGATTAGCACTCGGTGTGCTGTGCACCTTTTCACTGGAAAGTGTGACTTTCCCTCCATCCACTTTATTGTAAATTCTCCTCATACCTCTGCATGGCCTGAGGGTCTTCACTGAATGCTTTCATCAAGGACCTCAGAGAACGGAGGTCTCAGGAAGCGAAGGGCTGGTTCCTCCCTGTGTCCGGACCCAGCTTCCTGAAGACAGTAGAACCTATCAGTGAATAAGTTGTTTTTAGGGGGAAATTAGTCAATAAATTAGGGAAGATACAACCTAAGTTAATCATTTAAATAGACAGGAAATGTACACAATACCCAAAATTACAAGGGTAACATAATCAAACAAGAGAAAGTAAAAAATATAGCAAGGCCAAATAAAAAACCCTAAAAATTCTCCTCATGGGCCAGGCATAGTGGTACACACTTGTAATCTTAGCACTTGGGAGGCTGAGACAGGAGGATTTTGGTGAGTTCAAGGTCAGCCTAAACTACACAGTAAGACCCTGCCTGTCTCAAAAAAAAAAAAAAAAAAAAAAAAAAAAAAAGGGA